GAGTGTCTTCTTTGATTTCAATTATTAGACAGATACCGTCAACATATAGGGGAAAAGATACTGAATTTCATAGTATTAAATTCTTGGTCATAAAAATGGACACAATATTCTCAAGATGCAACGTCACTAACGTAAAGAATTCTCAAGTTTAGGATGTGCAACTTTTTCCTCTGCAGTTACAAATGACCATTTTGTTTTCCTAAAGTCTGGCTTTATCATTTATAATTTTATTATTCCTTTTAAAAGTCAGGTTTATAAGTAGTTCAGCCCTTGATATCACTCAAGTACAGAAGCTTCCTTGAACAAAACTCCTGTTAAAATAAACTGAAGTTTGTATGAGCAAGAACTGTTGAGTTCTAGCTCCCAATCTGCACCGTATATTGGCATGCTCCCTTCCTGGAGATGGCATTTTGCTTTGCTTACAGTAGTTAACATTTCTTTTACAGAAAAAACTGATGAGCGGCTACAGTTAGCCTAACGGATAGGAGATGGGTATCTGCTGAATTGCTGGTGTCTATTTAAGGGTCACCATCTTCCACAACTATGTACTGCATTCCGAGACCTCTCCAGACGCTTAGCATTTTTAACATCCTTTGCAAAATTCTCCAGTTGCAAAAATCACTCAGTGGCTATTAAGACTACAATGGATTTAGAACTGACTTGCAATCTTCCAGAAATAACTTTGTACGCTGCGATAGATTACTAGCATGTTAACAATGTTTAGGAATAGTCCCGTGAGCTGGAAGAGTGAGGAAAAATAAGATCAAGACAGGTCTCTCCAGCAAAAATTTATTCTCTTAACAGCTCTCACTTAAGTATTTGCTACTGACAGAATCTGGTAGTTTATCATTAAATAGTAGCTTCCCTGTACAATAGCTTCTGTATTTGATGCTCAGTGCGAACAAGAAGCATGCATAGGAGTATTCACTGAACCCGAGTCCTTCCACAGACCGGCAAGGATTTCTAGCACTGCAGAAAGACACTAGAAATTTCACTGTGTGAAGTAACCTGTTTCTAGGAAATTTCCCTCTCGACCTTTCCCAGTGAGGCCGTTACTGTGCAGTTACGAGTACGTATCAGTCACGCACTGGTTGAAAGTTGTGTCCATGAAATGCTGTCCTGCTGTCTCCCCGTTTGAAAAAAATACAATTTCTACACAACTCAAGGCACTTTCGACATCGTTATCTCGAGAACTTTAGAAGAAAATGCTTTATGATGCGCCACGAAACGCGTACGGGTTGGTTTGTCGCTACAACCGATTTGTTACTGCTTTATTAATCCTGTAAATCGCTTCTGCTTTATTCCAAGGATGAGTAAGAGAAACAGTTCAGGACAGTCAGTTGAAACCCTTCCACTCTGGAAGAGCCTGCCCGTTACAGAAGGCGCTCCTTGACGCGGACAATAGTAACGCGGCTGTTTTGCGATGTTGGTTGCACAGTCCCTTCCAGGCAGCGTACTGCCAAAGCAGGCCGGCTAAGGACAGCAGTGAGCCGGCCCGGGTGGGGCAGCGGTGCGACCGCTCACGCATGGGTTAAGTAACGTCCGC